AGATTTTTTTTCCCCATAAGCATTCAACATCAGATTATTCCAAAGGTATTTTTTTCCAAAAGGCAGTTGGATTTTCTTGGGGTGTTTTTTTTTTTTTTTGAAAATGTTTACTTCTCATCAAGAAACTTCTTCAGTTCTAACTTGATCTGCAAGTCCCAGTATTTCATAATTTTTTTTTGCAATTGTTTTTCCTCAATCCTAGCATCATCCAGAATAGCAACAACAATGAATTAGACTTTCTTCATTTTGGTAACTGTTGTATCAGGCATGATATGAGCAAGTTGCCTGTCTGTTTGGATCTTAAAGGCTCAGAAAATTTTAACCCGCTCATTTTCTAAAACCTTTTCAACTCGATGGTCCCAGTGGTTTTTACTGCATTCAGATCCAAACCTCTGATGAATTATTGAATAATTCTGGCAACTTAGTCAAGACGTTGCTTGAGGTCAGTTTGCAAACTTTTGCTGCAGCCACTGATGAAATCGTCAGTTGCTTCATTCTTTTCACCACAAGGCAGAATTTGCAATTGTTTATTAGATGCTGAATTTTTTCCTTCATGCAGTTAGTTAGCTTGTTCTTGAGCCAGTAAAGTAAAACCTTCATTGTCTTGCTTTAACACTCCTGACCTTAATGAACACGGTGTGGGTTTTTAATCTTATTTTCCATCTATATTATTCAAGTATTAATAGAATAGCAGAATTGGAATGTACATTGGAGGTCTTCTAATCAAACACCCTGCTCAAGCAGGAGACCCGATACCATTTCAGACAAATGGTTGTCCAATCTTTTCTTAAAAACCTCCAATGATAGAGCACCCACCGCCAAGCTGTTCCACTGATTAATTATACTCACTCTCAAGAAATTTCTCCTTATTTCTAGGTTGGTTATTTCCTTTATTGGTTTCCATCCATTGCTTCTTGTTCTATCTTCAGGTGCTTTGGAGAATAGGCTTCCTGATGTAGAGTTTGCAGGAGATTTTTTTGTTGTTTTTTTTTTGCACCCTATTAGAGAACAATCTGTTACTGCCTAGGATTGAACTCTCAAGCTCCCAAATGTGAGGTGAGCATCTTCACCTCTAGGCCACCGTGCCATGTCTCTGTTTCTCTCCCTCCCTCCCTCTCCCTTCCTCCCTCTCTCCCTCTCCCTCTCTCTTTCTGTGTCTCTCTCTCTCTCCCTCCTTCTCCCTCTCCCTCTCTCCCTCTCTCCTTTCCTCCCTCTCTCCCTCCCCCTCTCTTTTTCTGTCTCTCCCTCCCTCTCCCTCTCTCTCCCTCTCCCTCCCTCCCTCCCTCCCTCCCTCTCTCTCTCTCTCTCTCTCTCTCTCTCTCTCTCTCTCTCTCTCTGTAAAAACCTTGGAAGCAAAAGCTCTTTGACCATGCATTGGCTTGTTCTTCCAATTAACAAATTGGTTTTCATTTTTTTTTCTTTCCCATATTCAGCCTTTACCTTTGTGGTTTTCAAGTGTTTTCCTTGATTGACTTCCTTCATCAAAAGTGCTTGTCTTGTCTTCATGTAGTCATTCAGGCCATGCTTTTCTTCCTCTACAGTTTGTTTCATCTGTAGGAATTTTCTGTCTTGGCAAATTCAGCAAATCAATATCACTTCTTGGATGCAAACCATGATGCATTGTCATTAGTTTTCTTGTCTTCCAATTCAAGTTATCAAGTTCCATCTGAGTGCAATTAAATCTTCCTGCCACGTATTGAATAACAGGAACTGCCCAGGTATTAATGGCTTTAATATTGTTTTCACCATTTAGATTTTAGTTTTGATTTCAAAATTTATTAAATTTGATAAATTATTATTTTCTTGGAAGATTTCTTCCACGTGAGCATGAAAGTTGGTATAAAATGTTTAGTTCTTTCCAAACTTCATGTAAGTGCTCAAAAAATGAAATAATGTGATTTAAGAAAGAAATCACCAAGCACCTTTCTGTGCAGGATAAAAATCACTGGAATATAGTTCAGGTTCTGCTTCAATCACTTTGTCAGGTTCCGAAAGAAATAACTCTGCTAACATTGGATGTTATTGCTTGACACACTTAATGTTTTGTCCCCAAAGGCCACTGTGGTTGTAAAGTAGGATGTCAGGTGATAAAAACTTTAGCAATAAAAATTCTGGCACTCCCAGTTGCCTTCATTAACCAAATCCTTTCCCCCCCTCCCCCTGCAGTCATTAGGCGAGGACCCACTCTGATTGGTCCTTTCCAGCCCCGTGCCTTGGTAAGGTAAGAGACTATTTCAGGGGTCCTCAAACTACGGCCTGTGGGCCGGATGCATTTGCCGGGCAAATGGTGGTGTAGTGCAGGGCTTTTCAACCTGTGGTATGCTAGTACATGGCAGGTGGTACGTGTCCCTGCCTGGCCTAGATAAGTATAGCAGGGGGAGGGAATGAGCTAAAGCGGCACAGCGCAGGACTTGCCTTGAGATAATCATCTGGAGTTGCAGGGCTGCTGGGGCCAGACAAAGGCCCCAGGATCGGCACTTCCGGCACACCCAGAAGAGAAGAGAGGGGGATGGAGACAGGGGAGGCTATAAAAGCAGGCAGTTTTGGCGGGAGAGGGAGAGAGAAAAAAGATGCAGCCTTGGGAAGAGGAGTCAGATGGAGCTGCACCGAAGAGAAAAGGGAGGGGGGAGAGAGCAGAGGAGATAAAACAGGTCAGCCGGTACCCAATCTATAACTTCGTGGCAGCCATCCATGCTGGGCGTGCACACAAATTGCAGTGTAAAACAGGCAAGAAACGCATCTGGGGAGGAGTCACCCTCCACGAGGAACGAAGAAAGGCACCATCGGCTGGAGGTGACCAGCAATTGGCCCTCGCCCACTTCACACACCCGGCTCTGTGGGTTATGGGGGAGGGGACGCTGTGAGCGGAGTGAGAGTTGGCAGATGCCTTTCTTCATTTCTCGTGGAGGGTGACTCCTCCCCAGTTGCATTTCTTGCCTGTTTTTCTCCCTCCCTCATCACATATATCTTCCCGCCACTCTGCTCTTAAGGTTGTGCAGCTCTTGTCCAGGAATTTACAGTGGCCTTTCAAGTGATGGCCACTGGCAGCACGGGCACCGGCCATGCTGGCAACTCTTCCCCCTCCCCTTGTCCCTTCTTGGACACGGAGGGAGGGAGGAAGGAAGGAGATGGGAATGAGAAAGAGGGAGGGAGGGAGGAAAGAAGGAATGAGATGAGAAGGAGGGAGGCAGGTAAAGAAGGATAATAGGGAGGGAGGAAGGAAGGGAAGGAATGAGATGAGAATGAGAAAGAGGGAGGCAGGGAAGAAAGAAGAGGGGAGGGAGGGAGGAGATTGGAATGAGAGGAAGGGAGGGTCTGAGGGAAGTCCTGCCCTGTTGCTCTTTTACCATCCTCTTGCCCCCTCCTTCTGGCCTATCCTGGTGGTCTCCCATCCTATCACTAATAATGCTTTGGTTATAACCATTAATTTTTTTTCAAACTATAGTCCGGCCCCCAACAGTCTGAGGGACAATGAACTGGCCCCCTTTTTAAAAAGTTTGAGGACCCCTGGACTAATTATACATCTAATTTATATAGTTGCTCATTCCATCCTATTTTGGGCTTTAAATTATAGAATATACAGTACATGCTCAGTATATAGTGCAAATGTATTTGCTTCTATTCAGACCATCCACAAATTATATAAGTTGATAATAAGAACTGAAAAGCTCAGGTATCATCAGCCATTATTATTATGATATCATTATTATGATTATTATCCTTTATTATTATGATTTTTGCATGTACATCAGGAGCTTATGTACCGGAGACAAATTCCTTGTGTGTCTAGTCACACTTGACCAATAAAGCTATTCTATTCTATTCTATTCTATTCTATTCTATTCTATTCTATTCTATTCTATTCTTTCTATTCTATTCTCAGTCACTATTAATGTGGTGTTGGATTTTCTAAATGTTGTCTTGTTTTAATTACAAGCACATACTTGAAAGTGAGATTTGGCTGCTTTATTTTCTGATGCTTGGAAAAAAATGAGTTTCTCATTGTACATTCATAAGGCAGTATTAAAATGTCCATTTTCCGCTTCTCTCCATTCTGAGTCCCCTCTACAACTGAAATAAGAGAAAGCTCCTTTGTTAAATGTTTTAAGAAGATTAAGATTGACCTTTTAAATATTGCTTTTAGCTTAGCTTATTTATAACTCTTTAACACACTCTGGGCCTTCAGAGACTTGCATACATGTCAGTTGTGTATAAAATTATTTTGTATCATGATATATCTTAGGAGACATCATCCAGTGGAAAATGTGAATTGGGAAATTGTTCGTTTCTGATGACCACTAAAAGGCAGTAGTTTTATATATGCTTACTTACAGTTTATTTATGAAATGCAAGGGGCTTACTTGAAAATAGGCGTGGCTAAGGTAGGATTCTAAATGCCCAAATCCTGATTACATAATTTATTTTCTATATGCTTTTTTTGCTGGACAATGAACAACAGAAAAATGTCCATTTTGCTCTGGTTTAAAACGTGCCATTGCTCCTAAAAGCACTTTGACATTGAAAGATGGGCTGCTTGATTATCTGGCTTATAGACATGAATGATTCCAATCCATTTTGAATCTGGAATTATGGTTTTAATTTGGGACATAAGCATTTCCAGAGGAGACTCCAAAACTACTTATTTAGAGTGATTCTGAACCTGTTATGGAAACACATAAAAGGTTTAGTGAATTGCCTTCCACACCAAACCAAAAAGATGTCTGCCATCTGCTAAGAGTATTCTGTTCCATGGAGCTTCAGGCACAAGGTACCAACCCATAGCAGCTGCCCAGACCCTGTCCATTTTCAAGGTTGGCTCACTGCTATATGAAGGTCTGTAAGGTTTTTAACCAATTTTTATAATGCACTTATTTTATAATTGTCTTATTTATGTTATGGGCCATCTCAAGGTTTGTATGGAGACCATGTATGAATTATGGACATAAAAATAAAGTAAATAAACAATTCAAAACTCAAGGTGTGTTCTGTTTCATTTTAAGGGAACACGATAAAGATCCTGAAAGCTTCTTTAAAGTGCTGATGAAATTGAAAAAGATGGAACTGAATTTTCATGTCTCTGTCCTTGGAGAAGCCTTCAGTGATGTTCCAGGTATTGTTGGGCTTAGTTTGTGAGATATATATATATATTAACATAGGCATTTTTATATATTTTTTGCATTTACAAATATTACAATTCACTAATTAATTTTCTTTCAGTCAAAGTGAGCAATTGGGATAAGATATGAACAAAAAATAAAACATAATTATGAACTGTAGTTTTAACTGAAAACTTAAGACTACTATCTTGCAAATCTCAATTTGGAAAGAAGACCCACTGAGCTCAATACGATTTAACTTCTGACTATTTGTCCAACTGAGTATCTCGATCTTTTATTTTTAAAATGAGTTCCACACTTGTGATGGAATTTTATATGTTTAGATCAATACATAAACATTCAGAACAGGAAAAAGAGTATAAACCCTGTTTTAAGGTTGAACATGCTTCAATAAAAATAATATAAACAATTAAATTTTAGGGAAGAGAAATGTAAAAGGATGAATACACATAGGCAGATAGTAAGTCATGCAATAATTACAGAGAAAATGCAAATATGCATCACATGTCTTGTAAAGATTGCAGTATGTACCATTAAGAACAATATAACTCTTACTACAATTTCTTAGAAAACAGTAAACTGATAGGAAAAATTCCTGTACAATCAAATTGCAACAAGTAAACCTAGACAAAGTTTGATTTTAACTATTATTGTTTGACAGAATTCAGCTGCATCTAAACTTCCATCAGTCCAACTTGTGAAATGCAACTCCTTTTAGGTTTCTAGCCATATAGTAGAGTGATGTAAAAATGGAAGAAGGCTCATACTCTACTTTATCCACAATATAGATTAGTAAAGAATAGAGTCTTATAAATTCAAGTGAAATGTGAAAGTGGTCAAATGTAATTGTCCAACACACACACACACACAAATTAGACAAGTAGAAACAAGAATAATTAATCCAGGAGGAAACTATGAAAATAAAATAGTGAAGCCAGCATGCCACTAATAAAAAAAACCCAAAATAAATAAAATTAAGGGCCTTATGAAAAGAAGAAACAACTCAGTACTGCAAAAAGCTTGAACTTGAGCAGCCAGAAAACTAATGTGGGGCATCAAGATTGAAAGTATAAAATGGGATAGGTTGAAGGTAAAGGAGAAATCTTGACAATTAGTACCAAATGCTTTTAACGATTTATTTTAATTTGAAAAGCTTAAGATTGTTACTCAGGATTGAAACTTAAACAGAAATGCCTTGATCTATAATAAATCTTAATAGTTGACGGGTTTGAAAAGGATTTTTTCAGTTTGCTTTTTTTTTTTTTCTGTTGACCAATGCACAGCACTCAAGTCTAGGATAAAAAGATTTTGGCAAACACTGACAAGCAAATTCAGATATGCCAAAAAAAAAATATTTAAGAATGTGATTTTAATTAAATGATGCCTACCCATCCTGTTAGATTTGGCAGGAGTGGTGTGCTCTGGGTCCTGTCTACAAGAGAATGTCATCTGTCTGAACCCAGGAGCACAGCTCCTTCTACCATTGCACCTGCCCTCTGGAACATTATCCCTTCAAAAAGTAGATTTGCCCTAACTCTGCACTGTGAAAACAAGGCATTAAAAACCTGGCTTCGCCATTAATCCTGAGACTGTGATAGCATGAGTAAGCCTGTGACATAGCTTCTTTGAGTGGTGATGGGTCTTCTCAACAGTTATTTTTATGTTATTGCTCTTATTTATTTACCGGTAACTGTAATTATTTTTTTTATTTTATTTAGGATTTATTTTATTTATTTATTTTATTTTAGAGCCCTGGTGGCACAATGGTTAGAATGCAATATTGCAAAATAACTCTGCCCACAGCCGGGAGTTCGATCCTCAGTGACTCAAGGTTGACTCAGCCTTTCGTCCTTCCGAGATTGATAAAATGAGGATCCAGATTGTTGGGGGGCAATAGGCTGACTCTGTAAGTGGCTAGGTGAGAGTGCTGTAAAGCCCTATGCAGCGGTACATAATTGCTATTTTATTTTATTATTTTATTTTTGTAATTGTGAATGATCCAGTGTCATAAGATGGGTGGCCTCTACATTTACTAAATATAGAAATTTTGAGTTTGTTGCACAGAAAAATAAATTCCAAATCAAATAAGGCTTTTTGGAGGGAGGGGCAAGGGTTCTAATGGTTTCTGTGCTTATAATCCCAGTACTGGAGTTTTGTCTTTTTTTTTTTAATGTTAGCAGGTTTTGTTTTGTTTTTGTTAACCAAGTTTTTCTTTGTGGATCTATCACCCACAGATGGTCAAAATACTAAACACTCCGGAGAAAGATTTTGTTTGTATAAGCTGTCTTTTTCAGGGGAATAAAAACTAGATTCAAGTATTACTGAGATAAAGATAATAAAGTTTTGATTCAACAAGTCAAGGTCACTTCTCAGAAAGTCTGTT